AAGCAAATAAAAGTGAAAACACATTTTTAAAAGTCTAAATCTTAATCTAGCAAGGTACAGGTTTTGCTCAAGGGGGTTTCTCTCACCAATCCACCTTCTTCTCAGCCAAGGATGACTTTCCTTCTGTCAGAATCCCAAAATAAACTTAGTGTCCATAGTACCTCTGGCTACAGACAGCGTGATGGGGTCCATCATACCCACATCTGGTTGTCTGCCAGCCCCAGATCAGGCAAACCCTTGTGTCATTCCTCCTGGGTTCCATGGGTGTGACTTGTCCCTCCTCTTCTATCTGAGCTGCCTGTGTTTCTCCTGGTCAGCAAACTTCCACTACTTCAGCTCTGCCTCCTCACTAACACCTGGCCTCCAGCTCTGCCCACCTCTCCTCCACTAGCAGCTTTTTCCACTGTAGCCTCCACAGCTCTGGAGGCCATTGCTGCTGCTGCTGCTTCTGGATCATATGGGGAACCATCTGCTTGGTCTCCTGCATGCTCTGTAGGAGAAAAAGGGACTCTTCTTCTTGCCACCTGGTTTGGCCTCTAGCTCCAATTTCTTCTGATTCGCTGCTGACAGACCTCACTATGCACCCAGCTTTTCTAACTTCTTGGTGAGCTTAGCACCTGCTCCTTTGCTCCTCCTGCCTTTTCTGCTTATTACTCATCTTTCCTTTCCTTTCTTCTATTTCCAAAATAAACAGAACACAATCAAGCTGTAGCCTTTCTTTGACTGTGCCCTTTCACTTGTGAATCACTTAAACCTATTTCACCAATACTTAAACTGTAAACCTTAGTTAAATTAACAAGCTGTGTGTAAATCCTTTTTAGATTACACCAATTTCATGAGGTTCAGGGGTGCAATCCAGACCAGTAAGAGGTTGTGTCACCACTTGCCCTGCAATCACTTTGCTGCTGGAGCTCCCAGCCTGGGATGCTCCCAGCCAGCCTACAAGCACACAGGTCTCACCTGGAGTATCTGTGTGCTAGACTGTCCTGGTTCAGCAGCTCTGACCCCAGCAGCCTGTCTACAGCCCTACTCTGGCTTCCACAGCCTTGGCTACAACAAGCAAGGTGACTCCAACACACTCCCTGTCCAAAATTTCCCCAAAACCATGTGCCTGGAATTTTCCAGCCTCACCAGGATAGAGAAATAATAGGGTTCATTGCTCCTTTAAAGAGACAAAAGCCCATTGTGACAGTGTACCCCATAAGGCTTTATGGGGGGGTTCTTATAAATGTGTGTATGATATAACTGGAATAGGGTTTTGCTACATATGCCATGTAACATATCTATGTAAGGGTTATGATCTACTGGTTATGTTCATCCTAGTTGTATGCAGGCACCATTTGTGTGTTCCAAGTTATGTATACTTGCTTGATTTCTAAGTAAGCTTTGTGAGGCATTTGGTCAGCTTCTTTAGGAAGGAATTTGCAAGGTTAAGTACCCAGTCAGGAAGCATTTGGGGAACAATGCATCTTGGAATGCTCCAATCCACATAAGAAGTCTTCCTGGAGACAAGACTGTGAGTCATGCATGGACATGTGACTTGCCCAGGTGACTCCAGAACTCCATCTTGTAGCTGGACTTTGCATAGGAGTGAGGAGGGGGGTTTCCACCCACAAGAGAAAGTCTATTTAAACCCATGGGAGATCCCTCCATTTTGTCTTCAGCTGGCTAAAGAGAGAGCCTCCCCACCCCCCAGGATAATTGGAAGAAACTGGAACAAAGGGGTGTGAGTGATTGCTAGACCCAGGCTAAAAGGAGATTAGCCTGTAAAAGGAAGCATTCTGGAACTGGTGAGGATCTTATCTGTATTCAGTGTTTGATTAGACACAGATTTGCACATTTTATTTTATTTTGCTTGGTGACTTACTTTGTTCAG